TAATACTTTCAATGTGGTTGCTTTGTATAACACATAACAGCATTGCTGTTTATATAGCCTAATACCTTCAATGTTGTTACTTTGTATCGCCCAATAGCAACATTGTTGTTTATATAGCCTAATACCTTCAATGTTGTTACTTTGTATTACCACATAACAACATTCTTGTTTATATTGCATAATACCTTCAATGTGGTTACTTTGTATTACCCCATAACAACATTGTTGTTTATATAGCCTTATACCTTCAATATTGTTACTTTGTATTACCACATAACAACATTGTTGTTTATATAGCCTAATACCTTCAATGTTGTTACTTTGTATCGCCCAATAGCAACATTGTTGTTATATAGCCTAATACCTTCAATGTTGTTACTTTGTATCGCCCAATAGCAACATTGTTGTTTTTATAGCCTAATACCTTCAATGTTGTTACTTTGTATTACCCTAGAACAACATAGTTGTTTATATATCCTTATACCTTCGATGTTGTTACTTTGTACTACCACATAACAACATTGTTGTTTATATAGCCTAATACCTTCAATGCTGTTACTTTGTACTACCCCAGAACAACATAGTTGTTTATATAGCCTAATACCGTCAATGTTGTTACTTAGTATTACCACATAACAACATTGTTATTTATATATCCTTATACCTTCGATGTTGTTACTTTGTATTACCCCAGAACAACATTGTTGTTTATATAGCCTAATACCTTCAATGCTGTTACTTTGTACTACCCCAGAACAACATAGTTGTTTATATAGCCTAATACCTTCAATGTTGTTACTTTGTATTACCACATAACAACATTCTTGTTTATATTGCATAATACCTTCAATGTGGTTACTTTGTATTACCCCATAACAACATTGTTGTTTATATAGCCTTATACCTTCAATATTGTTACTTTGTATTACCACATAACAACAGTGTTGTTTATATAGCCTTATACCTTCGATGTTGTTACTTTGTATTGCCCAATAGCAACATAGTTGTTTATATAGCCTGATACCTTCGATGTTGTTACTTTGTATTGCCCAATAGCAACATTGTTGTTTATATAGCCTAATACCTTCAATGTTGTAACTTTGTATTACCCTAGAACAACATAGTTGTTTATATATCCTTATACCTTCGATGTTGTTACTTTGTACTACCACATAACAACATTGTTGTTTATATAGCCTAATACCTTCAATGCTGTTACTTTGTACTACCCCAGAACAACATAGTTGTTTATATAGCCTAATACCGTCAATGTTGTTACTTAGTATTACCACATAACAACATTGTTATTTATATATCCTTATACCTTCGATGTTGTTACTTTGTATTACCCCAGAACAACATTGTTGTTTATATAGCCTTATACCTTCGATGTTGTTACTTTGTATTACCCCAGAACAATATTGTTGTTTATATAGCCTTATACCTTCGATATTGTTACTTTGTATTACCACATAACAACATTGTTGTTTATATAGCCTAATACCTTCGATGTTGTTACTTTGTATTACCCCAGAACAACATTGTTGTTTATATAGCCTAATACATTCAATGTTATTACTTTGTATTACCCCAGAACAACAGTGTTGTTTATATAGCCTAATACTCAGCGATAGGAATCGCTATGATTCCTGAAATCTTTCCTGGAGGGGGAGTATGTCACCCTGGTAAAATACTAGCCGCTTCATTCGGTAGAGCGTAAGACTAGTAAACCAGAGGTCCCGGGTTCGACTCCTAGCGTAGGCATTGAAATAAAATTACCTCTGTTACAGACATTTAGTACCGCTGGTGAGTACTAATTAGGCGACATGTTCATAGGATGGTGCATTCGTTTTTTTCTGTCTTTGGCTTCCTGCATCAACCTACTAAATCCTTAGATAGGTGCTTTATTCTTGGTATTTTTCATACGGGTTAAATAAAAAATACAGTAGGAAATCCAATTTCACCTTTAATGGTTTAAACCACCAGGATATCAATTACACTATAAAGCTGCAAAACTAAACATAATATCGGCCAGTCTCGAGTATGCACCGTGTTTCTCTGCTCACTATTTTCATTGTTATCTGATATTACATGATGACAAAAGAATACATTCCGTTCGGTCGAGTGCACAGCGTAATTGGCCGTACTTTACATGTGTGCAGGTGTTTTCTTTTATAGATTTATAAATATAAACTTTATATATTTTTACATCAATTATGAAACACTTTTTCTTTTTTTTATATATATTAATTACTCTTGTTGGTCCGGATGTTAGCGCTCAGGGGGTCTAAATGTGGGAGTGGGAGTGGGAATTCCCGAAATCAGCCCAAGGGGTCGGGCAGGTGATCACATACCTATACAATTGTAGTTGAGAGTGAATTGATTGGCATCATTCACTGCGCCACCCGACACAATCTCCTCTTCCTGATTTACCATACATACAATACATCGGTGTTTACCCATGTGCTCAGTAATGTTCTTGTTAAGTTTTTTTTAAACTTTTAAAAGATAATTATATAACATTACATTTACCAGAAGAATGCGGAAGAGGGTCTTTGTAAACATTTCAATGTATTCAAAAAATTCAGGTGACTTATAACATGATAGTACATCAACATAAAAAATGAAATCTAATACTTTGATGTGAAATTTATTTTCCACGAACAGTACGAGGCCATTTATGCCAAGTCATCCCTCGCCCAACCTTAGTTTCGAATAAAAAAGAAAATAAAAAAACCCAGATATGTAATATGCATATATCCTGTTTCAGAAAATATCAGACTTAAAATATAACCCTATCTGCTACGTTAAAGCTGTAGTGCTGCATACCATGTATATATTCTAAATTTGATATGTAAACATGGTTCAGCAAATCTCCATTATTAAAGTTAAGAATTGTTATTTTCCAATTTATATTACATGGAGTAAGGCTTTATAACGTGATTATATTGATCACTAAGAGTAATGTGAACAATGTAGTAAGGAACTTATGACGTCATATCAGGGTCTCTCCTAAATCTGATGACACAGAGCTGTCTCGATCCCAGTGATTATATTCGATAATGTCTACAGATGAAATATCTGTCAAATCAAATAATGACGAGCTGAAATTTGGTAAACTACACTCAAGTCAAGTCAAGTCAAGTACATTTTATTTAAAAGTCGGTACATGGTTAAACAAGGCAACACAACCTTACGTGGAAAGACAACCAACTATATAACAAATAAAAACGGTAGCATTATATAAAACATAATTAACAAGCATGCAAATCTAAGACATTGTTAAAACACACACACATTGTTAAACATATAAAAGATAGGAAGTGTGATTCTAAAATGAAAATTTCAGGAGAATAACTTTTGACACATATATACATTCGGGTAAGTTTTTTAGGCAAACTGTCAAAACAAGGTGGCTACAGTGCCCCATCCTTGATGATCATGGTTAATTATTAGTTTCTAGATAACTTAAAACATTCTGGAACACACACTTAATTATCACATAATGCCTTCAACAGATCACATAATTACAGCACATATAAATAAATACAAATATAAATGAATAGCACAGATTGCATAGAAAACATACAAAACAAAGAATTGAAATTACAAGAGATAAAACAATGTATTATAAGCAGCACATACAATTTACACAAAACAAAAGCAAAGCAACACAAATAGCGAATACAAATTATATACACATACACATTTACAAGCATAATGACTAACTAACAGCAGAGACAACGAAGGATCCTAGGGAACTCATCTTCACATCGCACAGTGGCAACTTTCACCATTCCAGGTTTTTATTATTTTCCTAAATCGTTAAAAGAAGATGGCAACATATCCATGATGTATTGCTGTTGTCAAGGCCATGATACACTCCACTTCCTTGCCATGTTGATACCACAGGGCTCGGTTTCGGGATACTTTCTGTTAATAATAAACACATACACACCAGTAAATAACAGCAACACTTTTTATCTGGTGTTTATTGAGGGTACCGAGGTATACAAAAATAAAGGGATGACAGCCGCCATCTTGAAACGAATGGGGTACCACGATTCAAACGATTAATTACACCTGAAACAAGTATTGTCATACAAAAATATGCATCCGTTACCGTTATCGAGCATCGATCTTCGTGACGGTACCCTCAATTTTTATAAGGTCTTAGAATGTGTATAAACACCGGATAAAAAGTGTTGCTGTTTTGCTGTTATTTACTGGCGTGTATAGTTTATTATTAACCGAAAGTATCCCGAAACCGAGCCTCTGTGGTTGATACATGGAGTATGGTACCGTCTGTCACAGTTATCACATAAATGGCACGGTGTTCCCACTTTACAGCCTTGTTACACACTTGGCAGGGCCACTTTGGCCTTCTAGGACCTCACCTAACTGAGCTATTCAGCTGTAACAAATCCTCGTGTCCCTGTGCTAAAATCCATATATGAGTTCAATTCGACCGTAAAGTCTATCTAGATCTATCTATCTATCTATATATTCTGCATCACCCTCTTTCGAGTATTATGTGCAGCGTGCGCGTCTGTGCATGTTAAAAGGTATTGTGTGGTGACCGAGATAGAAATGATAAAGTGCGGACTGGTGCATGCATAAGGCAGAGGGAGAGGAAAGAAAGAAAAGTTTGATGAGAGAGTATTTGGTGCTAAGAAATGTCTATAAGTTTAGACCTGCTACTCCCCATACAAGGGCATATTTTATGGAACCTCTACGGATGTTGATAGCTCCTGTTGTACAAAATAGCGGATCTATTATGGACTTTGAGTCGGTTTGTGAGGGAGGGGGGTGATAATAATAGTTTGAAGATTGTTTACCTAATATACATGATCATTGTTTATTTCTTGGTTGTTTTCTGTTTTCTTTCTCCGTGTTTAAGTACTATTTATTTTTGAATGCAGCACAAATTTAAGTTTACTGTTGGTTTTGAACTTCCCGCTTTCTCCACACAGTGCTCGGGATGTTTGTGTACACAAGAATCTGTGACGTAGATCGCATGACTAATGGCAAATGGCTGCTTCAGGGCAGCAGAGAGCTTTCGCTCAAAAGCTAAATAAGTAAGTATAACTATTAAGTTAAATTCAAAACGCATTATAGATAGTTTCTCTGGCAGTTTTTGGTTCATCTCATTACAGAACATTGTACGTTTTCCATAAGGATATACTGATTTGATTACGTGCTGGACCGGCCTCCTCAGACTCCATCCTTCTTTTCACTTTCGTAAAGTTTCAGTGATGGATGAAACTTATCACAATAACTTCAGCCTCGTATTATATAAGTATCATACATACTTGTACAATATGCAAGCCGATGAACACGTTATTACTATCGTGAATTATACAGTCAATTAGCACATAAATATACAGTTGGTTTAGCACAGTAGGAACTTCAGTATTTGGACTATTTCTGTTCCGATACAGAGCTGATGGAATCTCAAAAATAACTAGATTAGAAAAAGAAAAGCTAGATATATCTGTTTTGGCTTTATACAAGGTTGTGTGTGTATTTTTTTTTATTACATTGCCCTACATTATGTCAATTGTCATGAAAGCTTTCTTTAGTGTCTTGAATAATAAAAAAAAATGGTTGAACAAAATTGTTGAATATATATGTAACAGGAGCATGTTGGGCCCAGTCTGTCAGTACATCAAACTGCACCCAACTCGCCCTGCAGACCAACCCAGGTTCGATGGGTAACTTGTAACTGTCGTAGAGGGAAAACAAACGCCTTGAAATACAATTAAAAATTAATTATTTACAACATAAAATACATGGAAAACAATTACAATAGCCTAGGCCTAGCTAACATAGCAAATGCTTCCCTACCTGCATGTAAAGACCGACCCCCGTAATACCTACGACCTTACTATAATTTGAAACTAACGCTAACCCCCGCATCCCGACTAAACTTGTCCCTATCTAAAAATCCTAAACTAACCCTAAATATACCTGACGAAAAGATGTTCCACATTTGACAATACGAAAACTAAAGGACCAATCACAACAGAGGATTCACAGAAACACACAGGTACAGCGGACACTGACGAAAAAGCAAGCAACTACGGATAATGCACGACAAAAGCATCAACCTCAGACAGGACACATGAACAGAGAACAACAACAAAGGTCAGGGTGACACAGGTACACGTAGTACAGACACAACATACAGACATGACGTAGAATTAAGCTTGCCACCCTGTCAGCTTAACACTGTCGATGGACACACATATATAATTACGTCCCCCGCTACATATGTGTATGTAGTAGGACTTGGAGCCGTAATAGTCGTATTGTGTTCTAATGTTCAAAGATTTTCTGAGTGGCATCACCCTGTTATGTTTGTAAGCAGGGAAAATCCTGGAATTTGGAAGCAGCTAGTGGGCCATTTTCAGCTATTTTAAGTCAATATCAAGAGGGGCCACTCTATGTGAAATTTAAATAAGATTGGAACATTGGGGGGTCAATTTCAGTTTTTAGGGGTCAATGGCCCCATGATCAACCTAACAAGCAACATAGATTTGAATATCAGTTTTACTGGCTAATACAGGCTGTTTCCCCTAGCTAAAAAGTGACTTATCTTCCCAAAACGGAGGAATGTGTTCCCAATTTCAATACAAATAATGCAATTTTTCCCCAATTCATTATTTCATAAAGGAACAGGCTGTTGAAAATTTTTGGTAACAAAAACACTGCTAATAATATGGATGTACAAAAACAAGTGGGTTGAAAAAAGCCTTACCTAATACTGACTGGAGTATAAAGTTATCAAAAAGGTCAAATTGGCTAATAATCATTGATGAATCTTAATGTAAAGGAGTGATAACAAATATAAAGTTGATAAATAAATTAGGTACATTAAAAATATGAAGCAGGTGTGTCCTAGGTATAACTACTCCCCCCCCCTGTAAAGGTGTTCCCTTCAGCACAAATCACTAACAGTTATCAGTTGATATGCAGTAACTGTTCAGAATTTTAATGAAATGTTTCTATAACAGGCAAGGTGCAGCAGAGGTGAGGAAGCAGGTGTCCTCCACTATACTGTATGCACCGTCAGACCTTGCACGGAGTGTCAGTGGTCTCAACCTCACAGTAAGTACAGACAGTTTCTCTTGTACTTAGTAGTTATCTATTAGTGTTCTCCCCAGGAATTATTTGATTTGCTATGGTATCTTTATTTTCTCCTTCAACTGCAGCAAGGAACTGCCGCCTGTTTCTTCATCACAAACCATCTATCATGCGTGATGCCACTTTGAGAAAGAAACTCTATAAACAAGAGTAATACTTGATGCAAGTTGATTTTAAATGAATTACATTATTTGATTATCTTGACATTGCATTATTATTGCTCATTTTCTTTTTCTTTGTCATTCTTTTACCTACAAACAAAATGGTCTGAGAGCGTGTCTATTTGAGAAGGGGGCAAGAGGTTATCAGTTTGTGAGATTTTGATGTTCCAGTCGTATTTGTGTCTTATAAGTAATAGCCAAGGGCATTCCTAACATGAACAGAAAAAATGATGGTGTATATATACGTATAGCGACTCAAAATCCATGTGTGATAGTATTGTTACGCTAAAACAGCCTGTGGGGAACACTGTCTATGGCTATGTTACTGAGAGGTTTTGCTTGTAAGTTATCATCAAAAACCACAGGAAAAGCATGAGCTCAGGACCTGTGTTTATGAAACCATTCTCATGCTCAAACTCAGCTTCTGTGCTCAATATCTTGATCTGGTGATACGTACATATAAAAAAAAAAATTGTCCATGAACAATGAAGAATCCCTAGCCTGTAGATGTTAAGATTTGATTTAAAGATATACAGACAATATATATTAAATATATAGACAGTAAATTAAATTAATAAATTCTTCTTTGTAGGTTCCACTCAGTGATGTTGTAGACCCCCCAGACTTTGAAGATTTTGTTATACAGAACCAGTGCACTGTTGAAAGAGACCCTTTTAAAGACCTGATCTTATATCCCGAAGATGACATTGATGTCCACCCATTACCGAAAAGATGCCGCACAGTCAACCCAATTGTACCAGAGACAGGGTATTAAAATCGTTTACTAATAGTGATGGGTAGTCAGGTTTGGGATCAGGGTATTATAATTGTTTGTTAATAGTGATGGGCAGTAAGGTTTGGGATCCAACACTTTGCCATTCTAACATCCTGATTCAGTCGGTGGAAAGCCTGCCATTCTAACATCCTGATTTAGTCGGTGGAAAGCTTGCCATTCTAACATCCTGATTTAGTCGGTGGAAAGCTTCCAGACCACATTTTTGCAATAAATTTTAGTAAACATCTACATTATAATTATTAGATGTAAAGTAAAAAAACCTGACAGAATGTGTGTACAGGTGTTTGTTAGTTCTGAAGCTGATATCATGAAACTTATGTCATTATTTTGAGAATTGTTTTAATAATTTGATAACCTATTTAATTTTGAAAGTATTTCATCAATAGCAACTAGTTTTGGGGGCCATTGGCCGTCAATAATACAAATGCTTCTCCTACGCTCACAACTAGTGTAACATAGTACTGCACAATTGCCCTAAAACATTGTCACTTTCCACATAATCTTTGCTGAAGATATTTTTCTAGGATTGACAAAAATGCAATGTTACACTAAAGTGACTATCATAATTTATATATACATATATATACATCAATATGTCATGTTAAAAATCCATTGGGACCCTTGGAATTTTTGTTATGAACACAAAGTTGCTGTATAGACAGGGGTCATTGATAAGACAGGCTTTACTGTTAATTTTTATATACAAACAATATAAAAGCTATCTTTTGACTTCTAGAGTATGACTTAACAAAATGGTGTCATGTAAGAGTGTGAACAAATTTAACATACCTTGTATATGCATATCATGTATACTGCCTTCTGATTGACAGGGCTGATGCAGATGCTCATGTCTTTGACTGTGCAAGGAGGTACACAGCTGATTATACCACCGTAACACGCAGGTAAATGTAATCATCTATTGTACCACTGTAATAAACAGCTAAATGTAATAATCTATTATACCTATGTCACAGTATAGTAACACACTGGTAAATGTAATCATCTATTGTACCACTGTAATAAACAGCTAAATGTAATAATCTATTATACCTATGTCACAGTATAGTAACACACTGGTAAATGTAATCATCTATTGTACCACTGTAATAAACAGCTAAATGTAATAATCTATTATACCTATGTCACAGTATAGTAACACACTGGTAAATGTAATCATCTATTGTACCACTGTAATAAACAGCTAAATGTAATAATCTATTATACCTATGTCACAGTATAGTAACACACTGGTAAATGTAATCATCTATTGTACCACTGTAATAAACAGCTAAATGTAATAATCTATTATACCTATGTCACAGTATAGTAACACACTGGTAAATGTAATCATCTATTGTACCACTGTAATAAACAGCTAAATGTAATAATCTATTATACCTATGTCACAGTATAGTAACACACTGGTAAATGTAATCATCTATTGTACCACTGTAATAAACAGCTAAATGTAATAATCTATTATACCTATGTCACAGTATAGTAACACACTGGTAAATGTAATCATCTATTGTACCACTGTAATAAACAGCTAAATGTAATAATCTATTATACCTATGTCACAGTATAGTAACACACTGGTAAATGTAATCATCTATTGTACCACTGTAATAAACAGCTAAATGTAATAATCTATTATACCTATGTCACAGTATAGTAACACACTGGTAAATGTAATCATCTATTGTACCACTGTAATAAACAGCTAAATGTAATAATCTATTATACCTATGTCACAGTATAGTAACACACTGGTAAATGTAATCATCTATTGTACCACTGTAATAAACAGCTAAATGTAATAATCTATTATACCTATGTCACAGTATAGTAACACACTGGTAAATGTAATCATCTATTGTACCACTGTAATAAACAGCTAAATGTAATAATCTATTATACCTATGTCACAGTATAGTAACACACTGGTAAATGTAATCATCTATTGTACCACTGTAATAAACAGCTAAATGTAATAATCTATTATACCTATGTCACAGTATAGTAACACACTGGTAAATGTAATCATCTATTGTACCACTGTAATAAACAGCTAAATGTAATAATCTATTATACCTATGTCACAGTATAGTAACACACTGGTAAATGTAATCATCTATTGTACCACTGTAATAAACAGCTAAATGTAATAATCTATTATACCTATGTCACAGTATAGTAACACACTGGTAAATGTAATCATCTATTGTACCACTGTAATAAACAGCTAAATGTAATAATCTATTATACCTATGTCACAGTATAGTAACACACTGGTAAATGTAATCATCTATTGTACCACTGTAATAAACAGCTAAATGTAATAATCTATTATACCTATGTCACAGTATAGTAACACACTGGTAAATGTAATCATCTATTGTACCACTGTAATAAACAGCTAAATGTAATAATCTATTATACCTATGTCACAGTATAGTAACACACTGGTAAATGTAATCATCTATTGTACCACTGTAATAAACAGCTAAATGTAATAATCTATTATACCTATGTCACAGTATAGTAACACACTGGTAAATGTAATCATCTATTGTACCACTGTAATAAACAGCTAAATGTAATAATCTATTATACCTATGTCACAGTATAGTAACACACTGGTAAATGTCATGATTTATTTTATCCCGATTCCATACAGGTAAATGTAATCATCTATTGTACCACTGTAATAAACAGCTAAATGTAATAATCTATTATACCTGTGTCACAGTATAGTAACACACTGGTAAATGTCATGATTTACCAGTGTGTTACTATACTGTGACATAGGTATAATAGATTATTACATTTTACTGTTTATTACATTGGTACAATAGATGATTACATTTACCTGTATGTAATCATCTATTGTACCACTGTAATAAACAGCTGAATGTAATAATCTATTATACCTATGTCACAGTACAGTAACACACTAGTAAATGTCATGATTTATTTTATCCCGATTCCATACAGGTAAATGTAATCATCTATTGTACCACTGTAATAAACAGTAAAATGTAATAATCTATTATACCTATGTCACAGTATAGTAACACACTGGTAAATGTCATGATTTATTTTATCCCGATTACATACAGGTAAATGTAATCATCTATTATACCACAGTCACAAAGGTAAATTTAATCATCTATTGTAGGACAGTGACACCAGTAAATGTTATCATCCATGTATTCAAGATTTTTATGAGACTGATGAAAAATGATTCTGATGAGATCCTCTGAAAACAAAGTATATGTGTGGGTTTTTATGATGTTGTCATCTGTTTTAAATTTAATTGGGCTAATGCTATGAGAAGTGTTTAAGTGAATATAAATGAGAGATGTAATCTGATATGGTTGATTGTCTGATGTATAGGTATCAGCGGTACAGCTCCAGTGTGTGTAATAAAGAGAAGCTAAACGACCACAATGACTTGGTGGTGCAGGAGTACGAGGTGGACGCTGAGGAAACCATGACAGACCAGGACAAGGTAATCTAAGGGGACGAACAGAATGACCCCCTGCATATAGAATCTTCTTTTTTGTATTTATCAATTATGGACTTCATACATATATCAAGTCCATGTAACCACATATTCACCGAAATAAAAATCAACATTTATGGACTTTTGTTGATGTGAATATATGATTATGAGAATGTGATATTGACAGAGACAAATTGATTAATATCACTTTCTCAGGTCCATATGATAACCACATACTCACAAAAAAAAGAGTTGTTACAGTGCTAAATAATGCTTTTAATTGTTAAAAAATATAGAACATATGAAAATTGTACAGAGAAAAGTATTATATTCAGTAGAAAGTATTGTGACATCACAATTGAAATGATGTCATGAATGTGGACATTGACTTGTTGTTTCTTAAAATAGTAACAGGGGGTCAATGGTACAAATCACCAATTGCACCCTCCACATGATTATAATCCAACCAAAGTGGATGTGTGAAAAATAGGTTACTTTGTATAAACTCACGTGCTCAAATATGTAAAACATTGCGCCTTAATCATTTGGCCAATACAGTCCAAAATTTACTTTGTAAAAACTCACATGCTCAAATATGTAAAACAGCACTTTGTAATATGTATAAAAAATATTTAAGGTCATATTATATGATCATATGATGTGAATTTCAGATTTTAACTAATGATGATTAAGGAGTTTTATATTTTTGTATACAGGAGAACTCCAACAAACGGCAGTCAATCCATATAAATGATACGCCACGTGGGAGCTGGGCCAGCAGTATATTTGACCTGAAACAGTCGCAGGCCGACAGTCTCCTTCCAAACCTGTTTGACCGGGTCAGCTACGAAGAGATTGATCAAAAGAATTCAGAACAGAGACAGGAAAATCGACAGGACTCCCTTTTTAGTTTATATCAGATGCAGGAGGAGGTATTTTTGGTTTGTACTATTCTATAGGGACCTGCCTTGTGTGATATATTGGTCAGAATTGTTCAGTTCTCCATGTCTCTGGTTTAGTGTTATAGCCCAGTGATACAGAGATGCTGTCAACTGTTCAGTACTCTATGTCTCTGGTTTAGCGTTATAGCCCAGTGATACAGGGATGCTGTCAACTATTCAGTACTCTATGTCTCTGGTTTAGTGTTATAGCACAGTGATACAGGGATGCTGTCAACTGTTCAGTACTATATATCTCTGGTTTAGTGTTATAGCCCAGTGATACAGCGATGCTGTCAACTGTTCAGTACTCTATGTCTCTGGGTTAGGGTTATAGCCCAGTGATACAGGGATGCTGTCAACTGTCCAGTACTCTATGTCTCTGGTTTAGTGTTATAGCCCGGTGATACAGGGATGCTGTCAACTGTTCAGTACTATATATCTCTGGTTTAGTGTTATAGCCCAGTGATACAGGGGTGCTGTCAACTGTTCAGTACTCTATGTCTCTGGTTCAATGTTATAGCCCAGTGATACATGGATGCTGTCAACTGTTCAGTACTCTATGTCTCTGGTTTAGCGTTATAGCCCAGTGATACAGGGATGCTGTCAACTGTTCGGTACTCTATGTCTCTGGTTTAGGGTTATAGCCCAGTGATACAGGGATGCTGTCAACTATTCAGTACTCTATGTCTCTGGTTTAGTGTTATAGCTAAGTGATACAGGGATGCTGTCAACTGTTCAGTACCCTATGTCTCTGGTTTAGTGTTATAGCCCAATGATACAGGGATGCTGTCAACTGTTCAGTACTCTAAGTCTCTGGTTTAGTGTTATAGCCCAGTGATACAGGGGTGCTGTCAACTGTTCAGTACTCTATGTCTCTGGGTTAGTGTTATAGCCCAGTGATACAGGGATGCTGTCGACTGTTCAGTACTCTATGTCTCTGGTTTAGTGTTGGGGCCCAGTGATACAGGGATGCTGTCAACTGTTCACTACTCTATGTCTCTGGTTTAGTGTTATAGCCCAGCGATACAGGGATGCTGTCAACTGTTCAGTACTCTAATTCTCTGGTTTAGTGTTATAGCCCAGTGATACAGGGGTGCTGTCAACTGTTCAGTACTCTATGTCTCTGGTTTAGCGTTATAGCCCAGTGATACAGGGATGCTGTCAACTGTTGAGGACTCTATGTCTCTGGTTTAGTGTTATAGCCCAATTATACAGGGTTGCTGTCAACTGTTCAGTACTCTATGTCTCTGGTTTAGTGTTATAGCCCAATGATACAGGGTTGCTGTCAACTGTTCAGTACTCTATGTCTCTGGTTCAATGTTATAGCCCAGTGATACAGGGATGCTGTCAACTGTTCAGTTCTCTATGTCTCTGGGTTAGTGTCATAGCCAAGTGATACAGGGATGCTGTCAACTGTTCAGTACTATATATCTCTGGTTTAGTGTTATAGCCCAGTGATACAGGGATGCTGTCAACTGACCCAGATATTGAACAAGACTGTTTTTAGTGTTGTGCTTCGTTGTGTTTCTTATTTAATATTTTTATGTTTATTACTTCTCTCATTTAATGTTGTACACTTGTAATTCACACGGTTGATTCAGGTGTGTTGTTTATCCAGTTCCGTTGTGACTTTTTAATTTTGACTTCAAACGTTCATAGATGTTGTGTGATTTTGAGTCAGGTCTCAAACATTTGTATTCTCAAGATGTTCTTGTGTTTCAAAATACCTGGTAGTCAGGGGTTCAAATTATGTGTTTACATAATCTACATTTCATGATTTGGAAGAAATATTTACATAATCTACATTTCATGATTTGGAAGAAATTTGGTACATGTTTGTACAAGAGGAACTCCACATCAAATGAAAGTTATTATTTTTTTATTATGATTAGATTAAAATATGTGGAATTATTATCAGGGGTGTAAAAATCCATTAGCCCGAGGCTGCATTGATGATGTATGTTGCTTTTAAATATGTGTTAAAGGGACAATTTAGTGAAGTAAGTTTTTTTGTATTAATCTTTACACAAATGTGTGAAATCAGACTCACTGACACTATTGTCGGTCAACAGAGCGGCACTGTACATGTTTACTTCTCGCTATTTCGGTCGTAGCTATTTTTATCACTGGCTTCCCAAAAGATAAAATTGACAACACTGGAAATTGGCTTCAGGTCATGTCATTATCAAATATGTAAAGTTTCGTTAGAAGATAAACATTTTCAGTATTTGCTCGATTTTAGAGTGTCATTGACTAAATGTTAGCCCCTTTAAATGTGATGGTATTCGCAACATAAATAACATTTGAAGTCTTTACTATATGCCAAAATGGCCCTCTTTGTTGCAAATCATGCTCTTTTATTTGACACAAGCATTTGGGGTACAGCAATTAAAGTTCCTCCCTCCAAACGTTGGTGATAATCATGCTGTCTGCCATGTTTGTTTTTGATGCTTTCTGATACTGAAACTGGTATCTGGACTGATTTTCAGGAGCAGTCAGAACTTTTTTTTTCTGGATTTTTTCTCTCTCTAAGATTTAATAATTCAAAAGGCATTGATTTGGGCTAAATATTAATATAAAGTGAAATTGTATTATTTTTTAAGGAAAACATAGCCAGTTGTGAAATTCAATGTGATATATTGTCTAGTACAGATCATGTGATTTGTCAGCTTGCTCCATTTCCTAGTTGTCTGGCTAGCAGAATTTAAATACGGGCTAGTTGAATTTTGAGTGATAGTATCTTGAGAATTATTTGTACACCCCTGATTATGATTCCTAAATGTTTATGATTACACTTTAAATGTTTTTCATGATTTTGTTTGTCTAACAAAGATTGAAGTATATGGAAGCTGGAAATTTCCAAATGTAAGACAAAAATATTCAGATTGGGAGAATCAATTTGTACACTTTCTAACCCAGAGAGAAATTTGAATTTAATAGTACATTATGAAAGTAAAAGTAAATTTACTCAAAAACAGTGAAAAATTTCATCTAGGTTGTTCCTGGTAGACTAAGTATGTTGAAAGGGATTTTCAGTATATGTATATTTTTTTGTTGTGAGATCTGTGTTTAATTTATACTTTCACAACTACTATCACGAAAACAAAAGATTTTAAGAAAATTGCAGAAAACAGTATCTGTGAATACAGTGTTGTGTGTAATAGCTGTTGTACGTGTCCTTATCAATCTATGAATGCAGTGTTGTATGTGATAACGGGTTTACTTGGGTACATGTCTTTATCAGCCCCTTATAAAATCTGTTACAGGAAGACTTGATAGAGCGCCGAGCCCCAGCACAGATACCACAGGAACATTTTGGCCACAGGATTTTAGTCAAGTGTATCAACCTCAAGTAAGTATGGCGTGACAAGTCCGTTACAGACACAGAAGCTAACCAGATTTATCATCAGTCATCACACCCAGATGGTGGTAAGACGAGCAAACATTTTTCTATCGCTGCCGTATGGAGGCCAAGCTTGTAGCTGCATCAGATATGAAACATGGTGATAAGGGTGTGACCTTCCACACTTTGCCTTTGTCAATTTCTGTATATGAAAAACAAGATCAATTGCACTTTTGATTATGACCTTGACCCCAAATATCACAATTGTGTAAATATAACACTTAATTCCAATAGGAAAAATGACAGTACAGTAATTACCTTCCTCTGGGTTTTTTTAAAAACTTAAAACTTACAAATATTCCTTATGAGTTCCCCAACAAATGTTCTTACTTTTCATACTTATCTTAATATCCAAGTTGGTTGCCCTAGCATCTGATTGGCTGATACATTTTAAAGAATGACTGACGTAATCAACTTCAAGCTTTGTACAAATGTTTTTAATAAGGTCCTAACAAGTTCTCATACTTGTATTGCTCATCAGAAAATCCAAGAAAGCTGCTTTAGCATCTGATTGGCTGAGACATTTTTGACTTCTTCTTAAGAAATACTGCAGTGATTGACTTTAACCTTGGTAAAACTGGTTCTTATGAAGTCCTCAAAAAGTGTTTTTACTTTCATGCTGATCAGAAAATCATTGATGGCCACCTTAGCATCTGATTGGCTGAAACACTTTTGACTTTTTCCAAGAACGGCTGTACTGATGGACTCTAATTCTGGTACAAATGTGTCTAATTAGATTCCTGTCAAGTGTTCTTACTTTAAATGCCAATCAGAAAATCCAAGATGGCATCTGATTGGCAGGAACATTTTCGAATTGAACTCATGTGATCTTTCAGGCCTCTTGTCTTATTTCAGCACTTTTTGCATTTGAAAATAGCTCTGATTTATGATAGCTCTCATAACAGTTCTCTGTTAATAGTTTTCTGTTACATTTATTGTAGGTGCACGAATTCATCTATGCACTAATCTGTCAAAATTAGATAATGCACTAAAATTTAAGTGCACTTCAATAAGGCGATTTGCCCCTTTATATCATAGACATGTTTAGGATTCCCACCCTATTAATTTATACATAGTGCTGAGCACGAAGAAACAATAGAAGTATACTTCCAGGATTTGACCTCTAGGGTCCTGCCCTACCCCTGGATACTTAGTCCCTGGGTCTTGTTGAGATCTCCACCTCATATCCATTATAGAGTTGTTGGGCATGTGTTAATTGAGAATGAGAAATCAAAAGTATTGCAAGACCAAATAAATAATGTATATTTGACAAAAAAATGCACTGCAACATCTTTGCATTGATATAACTATCAATATGGCTTAAAAGTAGCATGTCTTGTGTCAGAGTGAAAGTTTCATACTGTTCTAGCTTATTTTCTTTATAATTTTAACCAGAGTTTTAGCCATACTTTTGTGATTTTCATGACTGCAAAATCTTTGCATTTTTTTATCTTCTAAAATTTAGACTGGAATTGGAGTTTGAGCCACTGTTTGCTACTATGGCCCTATATGATGCAAAGGAAAAGAAGAAGGTAAAGTATAGATTTATTTAACTCCTGAATAATATGTGTCTACATGACCAATGGAAAAAACTTCTGATCATTCTCTTGAATTCGTGACCTAATGAATTTGCTTGACAAATTTTAAGTAATTTTATTGTTCGTTCTTAAACATAATCTATGAGATATATTTATTTCAGATATCTGAGAACTTTTACTTCGACCTTAACCCAGATAGCTTGAAGCAGATGGTTCGTGGCCATAACCCAAGCCAGGATGTGTCTACAATGAGTCGAGCCTGTATCTTCAGCATCACATACCCCTCACCAGATGTGTTCTTAGTCATAAGGGTAAATACATTGACATCAGCATCACATACCCCTCACCAGATGTGTTCCTAGTCATAAGGGTAAATACATTGACATCAGCGTCACATACCCCTCACCAGATGTGTTTCTAGCCATAAGGGTAAATATATTGACCTCAGCATCACATACCCCTCACCAGATGTGTTCCTAGTCATAAGGGTAAATACATTGACATCAGCATCACATACCCCCCACCAGATGTGTTCCTAGCCATAAGGGTAAATACATTGACATCAGCATCACATTCCCCTCACCAGATGTGTTCCTAGTCATAAGGGTAAATCCATTGACATCAGCGTCACATACCCCTCACCAGATGTGTTCCTAGCCATAAGGGTAAATACATTGAACTTCAGATTTTTGTCACTGACATGTGGGTAGTTCTATATCAGATCACTATTGATAGTGATATGGAGTATATATTTCCAATACTACCAATGAACTCAGTGAGATTTATACCTGCTGGCACTTAGAAAGTCTCCAAAGTTGAAAGTGATTGATTGATAGAATCTTCTCCTATCTCCTAGGTTGTTGGTGTGGCAGAGAAATCTCCAACCTGAGGGATGAATGTTTTGGTTGTCTAACCTGAGGCTTTGCTAAGAGTTTGACAACCAAATAATCACCTCAAGGTTTTGATTTTTTTCTGTTACACCCTCAAAGTGTGTGTGAGGGATTTTTTTTTTTGATCCCATCCTATTATTTCAGTCATAATTACACTAGAGTATACTGTAGTTATAGTCTGGCATAACTGTAAGCAAAGGCACATTTGGTATATGAATATAATTCACTTTTATGATGCCACTGTTTTGTGCATGCTAATCTGCACAAGGCTATCTATATTGTAGAGTTGATCTTTTTCTTGCTAGAACAAAAGACACATCTGTGAAGGGTGGGAGATATTTTCTCCTCACCTCGGACTGCAAGTGTATCAAGGAAAGATTCTTAAGTTACCAAACACTTGGCAAGACTCATGTGTGGCAACTTAAAAATCTTCTCTTTGGTTTGAGATCCTCCTATCTCATCCCCTTATAAGGTGGAGAAACATTCCATTAATCCTGTCTCAAATATGACTTTTTCATTATTGACATGACATATTTTTTTCATTCAATGCAAGAGAGCTAAACCATATAATGTAATACAGATTTACCCTACATTGGAGGTACAGAATTGACATTTTTTTTGAAATATTCAAAATAGTGCAATATATTTGCAGTTGGAGAAAGTGTTACAGCAGGGAGATATCGGGGAGTGTGCCGAGCCCTATATGAAGGAAGACAAGGTGAGTATATGTCTTGTATTTAAAGCACTGCAAGATCCAGCATATGACTTGTTTGTAATGCTGCTCATGATGTTTTATAGATGGGAGCAAAATCAGATAGTGCATTATGTTTCAGTTGCAGAACTTATGTTTTAGATACGTTAATCCAAAATGGCATTCAATCCATTTTTCAATAGCAAATAAAATAATTTTGTTTCATTGTTATATTGATTCTTATAACAGGCTAAGGAAGACAAACTACGTGGCAATGCAGCCCAGTTCTGTGAGAGACTAGGGAAGTACAGAATGCCTTTTGCCTGGACAGCTATCTATCTGATGAATATAGTGAGTGGAGCAGGCAGTCTAGAACGAGAGGCCTCAGTGGACAAGATAGATACAGACACCTACAGGACAGCCAGCTTAGGTATGTAGAGATACAGGGCAGCCAGCTTAGGTATGTACAGATACAGGACAGCCAGCTTAGGTATATACAGATAAAGGACAGCCAGCTTAGGTATGTACAGATACAGGACAACCAGCTTAGGTATGTACAGATACAGGACAGCCAGCTTATAGGTATATACAGATAAAGGGCAGCCAGCTTAGGTATGTACAGATACAGGGCAGCCAGCTTAGGTATGTACAGATACAGGATAGCCAGCTTAGGTATGTACAGATACAAGACAGCCAGCTTATAGGTATGTACAGATACAGGACAGCCAGCTTAATTAGGTATGTACAGATACAGGACAGTCAGCTTAGGTCACTCTTGGTAACTTGGTCCTTGTGTCACTTTTGGTAACTTGGTCTTGTGTCACTCTTTTTGACTTGGTCCTTTTGACCTGTGTGTGTATTATAAGTCTTGATACATTAGTTCTAGATTTAGTTTTAGATCAAACTTAATAAGAAAATTCCTTCTTGGTTCCTCTGACTGTCTCCCATTTATTAGCTTATCTGATCCAAAGGCCATCCTTCGAATGTCTTCAAGTCACAGATACTGATATTTGCCTGTAACTGTATTTAAGTCCACCTTTTAAGGTGGGTTTAATACCAGGTGAGCAATGCAGGCCCATTGGACCCCTTTGTTAGAGTTATGTGGAAGGTATATGTCACATGTTAAATTGTTCACATAGACAGGAGAAGTTCCGGTGTACCTGGGCAGTATGACAGTTTCCGTAAACGTGCTCGGGATGAGAGTGCATCTCGTCGTGGGTCCATGGACAGAGGGAGGCCAGGGTATGAGAAGAGGGGCAGTTCTCCTGATGATTATGGATCAAGTCTGGACAATTTCAGACCAGTTACCCTCACTGTCTCCAGCTTCTTCAAACAGGTGAGCAGTTGTTACAAAGAAATTTCAGAAATACAGTGTTAATTTCAAAATAGCCATTAACATGTTGAAATCCAGATTGATGCTAATCATGCATGAATATTTTGTTGACATCATTAAATGTTACATGTGTGACACAGACACCATGACTTCCTGGTTTTAACTTCATGTTTGTTAATGGAGAATAAAGCATATTGTTTTTATGTACTTTTGTTAGTGAAAATGATAAATTTGACAAATATGAATTACAGAAGAAAGATTTTTTCTCAAATGATTAGATCTTAAGACTTTTAACTCACCTGGTCTGAAGAGTCCAGTGAGCTAATTAGTCATGGTGCGGTATTTGCCATCCATCCATCCGTCTGTCAGTCATCCATCTGGCATCAACATTTTACTTTAAACAACTTCTTCTGAATAACCAAAAATTAGGGTGATGATATTTGGCCAGTAGCATGCTCAGATAAAAAGCTACGAGATTTTGTCCTTATAAATGACCTCAAAGGTCACAGGGGTCAAATGTGTTGAAAACTTAAAACAACTTATGAATAACCAAAATGTATATAGAGTGGTGAAATTTTGCCAGTAGCATGTTGAGATGAAGAAATATCAAGGTTGTTCATGTGACTGACCTTGACCCACATTCAAGATCATTTATGGTCATATGTGCATAAACCTTGAAATGAACTCATCTCGGTAAACAGTTGGTCTAGGGTGGTGATATTTGGCAAGTTGCATGCTGAGATAAAGGGCTATTAAGTTTGTTCAACTTGGTGACCATGTTAGACTTTCAAGGTCACAGGGGTCCAATGCATTTAAATTTTAACAGGTTCTTTTCCGTGGCTAAAAGTCCTAGATACAGGTACTTTGCCTGTAGCATTATTTTTGTCCATTTTTAAGGTTTAAATATGAAATAAATACCAGGTGAGCATTAATGCAACGACTGTTATTTTTATCATTTAGATATCACCTGTTGGGTTTGGATAATTGGCTTTCTACTGTAATTCATAGCCTGTGGGGAAGGATCAATATTATAAGTAATAATTTGATTCTTTAAGTACATAAAATCAAACATGATTTTTGAAAATAAAAAATGAAATCAAACATGATCTTTGAACATAATTTTGATTTCATGAATTTAAAAACCTACTTTGGTGATTGCAGGAGGCTGATAAGCTGAGTGATGAGGATCTGTACAAGTTCCTGGCAGACTTAAAACGACCCTCCAGTATACTGAAGAGAGTCAAGTGTATTCCAGGTAAACCTCCCTGTATTGTATCTGTCTAATTCACTCCAATAGAAGTCAAGGGTATTCCAGGTAAACACCCCAGTATTATATCTGACTAATTCAATCCAATAGTAGTCAAGTGTATTTCAGGTAAACATACCAATAGTGTATCTGTCTAATTCACTCCAATAGAAGTCAAGTGTCAAGTGTATTCCAGGTAAACATCCCAGTATTGTATCTGTTCAATTATCTCCAATAGAAGCCAAGTGTATTCCAGGTAAACCTCCCAGTATTGTATCCGTCTAATTCACTCCAATAGAAGTCAAGTGTATTCCTGGTAAACCTCCCAGTATTGTATCTGTCTAACTCACTACAATAGAAGTCAAGTGTATTCCAGGTAAACATCCCAGTAGTGTATCTGGCTAATATACTCCAATAGAAGCCAAGTTCTGTACAAGTTCCTGGCAGACTTAAAACGACCCTCCAGTATACTGAAGAGAGTCGAGTGTATTCCAGGTAAACCTCCCTGTATTGTATCTGTCTAACTCTCTCCAATAGAAGTCAAGTGTATTCCAGGTAAACCTCCAAGTATTGTATCTGTCTAATTCACTCCAATAGGAGTCAAGTGTATTCCAGGTAAACATCCCAGTATTGTATCTGTTTAATCATCTCCAATAGAAGCCAAGTGTATTCCAGGTAAACCTCCCAGTATTGTATCCGTCTAATTCACTCCAATAGAAGTCAAGTGTATTCCAGGGAAACCTCCCAGTATTGTATCTGTCTAATTCACTCTAATAGAAGTCAAGTGTATTCCCGGTAAACATCCAGGTATTGTATCTGTCTAATTCACTCCAATATAAGTCAAGTGTATTCCAGGTAAACATCCCAGTAGTGTATCTGGCTAATATACTCCAATAGAAGCCAAGTGTATTCCAGGTAAACCTCCCAGTATTGTATCCGTCTAATTCACTCCAATAGAAGTCAAGTGTATTCAAGGTAAACCACCCAGCATTTTATCTGTCTAATTCACTCCAATAGTAGTCAAGTGTATTCCAGGTAAACCTCCCAGTATTGTATCTGTCTAATTCCCTCTAATAGAAGTCAAGTGTATTCCAGGTAAACATCCCAGTATTGTATCTGTTTAATTATCTCCAATAGAAGCCAAGTGTATTCCAGGTAAACCTCCCGGTATCATTGTATCTGTCTAATATACAGTGTATTTCAGGTAAACATCCAGGTATTGTATCTGTCTAATTCACTCCAATAGAAGCCAAGTGTATTCCAGGTAAACCTCCCGGTATCATTGTATCTGTCTAATATACAGTGTATTTCAGGTAAACATCCAGGTATTGTATCTGTCTAATTCACTCCAATAGAAGTCAAGTGTCAAGTGTATTCCAGGTAAACATCCCAGTATTGTATCTGTTCAATTATCTCCAATAGAAGCCAAGTGTATTCCAGGTAAACAACCCAGTATCATATCTGGCTAATTCACTCCAATAGAAGTCAAGTGTATTCCTGGTAAACCTCCCAGTATTGTATCTGTCTAACTCACTACAATAGAAGTCAATTGTATTCCAGGTAAACCTCCCAGTATTGTATCTGGCTAATATACTCCAATAGAAGTCAAGTGTATTCCAGGTAAACCTCCCAGTAATGTATCTGTCTAATTCACTCCAATAGAAGTCAAGTGTATTCAAGGTAAACCACCCAGTATTTTATCTGTCTAATTCACTCCAATAGTAGTCAAGTGTATTCCAGGTAAACCTCCCAGTATTGTATCTGTCTAATTCACTCCAATAGAAGCCAAGTGTATTCCAGGTAAACAACCCAGTATTATATTTGGCTAATTCACTCCAATAGAAGTCAAGTGTATTCCAGGTAAACATCCCAGTAGTGTATCTGGCTAATATACTCCAATAGAAGCCAAGTGTATTCCAGGTAAACCTCCCGGTATCATTGTATCTGTCTAATATACTCCAATAGAAGTCAAGTGTATTCCAGGTAAACCTCCCAGTATTGTATCTGTCTAATTCACTCCAATAGAAGTCAAGTGTATTCCAGGTAAACATCCCAGTAGTGTATCTGGCTAATATACTCCAATAGAAGTCAAGTGTATTCCAGGTAAACATCCCGGTATTATATCTGTCTAATTCACTCCAAATCTAATTTTACATTTTCTATAGGTTCCCTATAGGGTTTCTAACTTTACGTTTTCTATAGGTTCCCTGAAGTTAGACATCTCCATGTGTCCTGCTGAACCTCGCTACACACTTACACCTGAACTGTGGAAGGTTGAGCCGTACCCTGACGACAAGAACAGACCTACCAAAGAAATTTTGGAGTTCCCTTCTCGGGAAGTGTTCAACCCCTACTGCACCTACAGGTAACAAACCAACCAGGAGGTGTTCAACACCTACTGTATTTACAGGTAACAAACCAACCAAACTTCTACATTTCTCTCTTGGGAGGTGTTCAACACCCTCTGTATTTACAGGTAACAAACCAATTAATATTTGAACCTGTTTTTTGAGTAAATTTAAACTCATCGCCTGAATCTCCTGATTGCTGGCTGACTCCCATCACCTTGCAAACACTGTACTTTAAAAAAAGTCGCATTTCTGGAGTGTAATATCAGCTTTTCATAACGCTCTGATGTATTACCTTGTATTTGAGTGTATCCGCTGATTGGTTAAAGGTTTTCATGTCGATAAAAACTTGCATGTTCAGGGAACTCACATTCTACTTGCTGCTCCAACAGCCGCCATCTTTGAAACAGTCCCAACATTTTTCAACGCTCAGGCTACACTAAAGTGGTGGTTTCATCAGTCAGTTGTCCTATTTTGTCATTTATTTTTATATTTCATCTGAAGGATTATGATAACAAAGTATATGGAATAGAGTTAAAACATCATGTGTGTGTTTGTTTAAATTTGTTTCACCGTAATAGTGTATTTAAATTTGTTTCACTGTAATAGTGTAAGCCTATAGTCACATATTAAACTGGTCAGTCCTGTAATGCTGAACACCATTAAACCACTGATTAATCTGTTTTTCTCTTCCAGAAATCTGTTGTTCATCTACCCCAAGAGCTTGAACTTTGCTAACAGACAGGGTTCAGCCAGAAACTTAGCAGTCAAAGTCCAGTTCATGAATGGAGAAGAGGATACAGCTGCCCTTCCTGTTAGTATGCATTTAACTTCAAACTCTGGGAAACTGCAAAAGTCATTTTTAAATTTTCTAGATGCTAAATATGTAGGACTAGATAAATCTTATGTTATTTCTGAGAATTATTTGTTAAATTATTCTTTTACAAAAAACAAATTATCTGATCTTATAAGGTTCTAAAGTACTGATCTTATGAGGTTCTGAGGTTCTGAAGTACTGATCTTATGAGGTTCTGAAGTACTGTGTAAGTGTTAGACTCAACTGTTTCTTGGATATTTTAGATTTTTAAGTTACATCTCATTTAAACAGACATTAATAACGTAATTGCAGTACTCAAATTTTGTATTCGAACAATCCTATATGTGGGTAAGCAGGGTTCAAGCTGTCACTAGATAGGAAATGATTGTTTTTATTGTAAAAAAGATGTGTTCGAACTTTACCCCAATTCCAAGCAACTGGAGGTTTACCGTACTTTGATGCTTAGTCATAACTTACAACACTGGCTGACCCTCTAAAACAAAATCAAATGACTAACAACACTGGCTGACCCTCTCAAACAAAATCAAAAGAGATAAAAATATTGTCAGTAAGTTTTCTTAAAATCTTTTCAAGGTCCCTTTCTCAAGTTAGCCAGAACATGTCATGTATATATTCAGACAGGCTGGGTTAACCATTTCACACAGATGTAGTTTATGTACACAATATGTTCACACAGGTTGGGGTAACCATTTCACACAGATGTAGTTTATGTCAACAATATGTTCACACAGACTGGGTTAACCATTTCACACAGGCTGGGGTAATCATTTCACACAGGCTGGGTTGACGTTTCACACAGATGTAGTTTATGTGAACAATATGTTAAAGATGAATCTTCTTATTTTGTTAAATACTTTTCAAGGTTCTGTTGTTTTCTTATTTTGATTGAAACATCTATATTATATGTATCATTAAAGGAATTTGTGGTTGATGGTTTACCAGATCATCATTGAACTAGTTCAAAGTTGATGGTGTGGCGACATCTTTGTGTCCACTTTTCACTACTGTATACTGGGAAACGTTCGCCCCGTTAAATTTTCGCCCTTCACCGCCTACAGTGGAGTAAACTGACCCCAATTTGCATCACATACGCTACCTGAGTTAAGACTCAGTGTAGACGAAATAGTGACAAAACATGTGCCGTAATTTCTCTTCAAACTTTCGCCGTCATGTTAAATTCGCCCTCATATCGGAAGGCGAAAGGGGCGAAAGTTAAACTGCGGTGAAAGTTTCCCGGTATATCTGTGGGGCCGTTATTGTTACAGTGATTATTGTTACAGGTGATATTTGGGAAGTCTAACTGTCCGGAGCTGTCCAGAGAAGCCTACACATCTGTAACCTACCACAACAAGTAGGTCTTAACATTTCTGTCTTCTCCAAAAAAATGCTTGAAAAGCGGTTTGGAGAATAACAAACATGGATTTTTTGTTATAATTCATAGCTTTAATTTCCATGCAGTGTTATGAGTCCCCCAACTGTACTATCAGAGCGGAGTGTAGCTAAATATAACTTCGTATGCAGTTCAGTCTTCAGTAAGTCTGCAATGGGCAATATCAGAGAGGAATATAGCTTCAAGTAGTCAGTACTCAGTCCATCTTTCTGTCAGTCCTTGCCCAGTACTATCAGAGGGGACTATAGGTTTGTACTAACGGGGTAGTTTGTTATAATTCATAGCTTTAATTTCCATGCAGGGTTATGAGTCCCCCAACTGTACTATCAGAGCGGAGTGTAGCTAAATATAACTTCGTATGCAGTTCAGTCTTCAGTAAGTCTGCAATGTGCAATATCAGAGAGGAATATAGCTTCAAGTAGTCAGTACTCAGTCCATCTTTCAGTCAGTCCTTGCCCAGTACTATCAAAAAGGACTATAGGTCTGTACTAACGGGGTAGTCCACCTTTCCATCAGTCCTTGCCCAGTACTATCAGAGGGGACTATAGGTTTGTACTAACGGGGTAGTCCACCTTTCCATCAGTCCTTGCCCAGTAGTATCAGAGGGTACTATAGGTCTGTACTAATGGGGTAGTCTATCTTTCAGTCAGTCCTTGCCCAGTACTATCAGAGGGGACTATAGGTCTGTACTAACGGGGTAGTCCACCTTTCAGTCAGTCCTTGCCCAGTACTATCAAAAGGGACTATAGGTCTGTACTAAAGGGGTAGTCCACCTTTCAGTCAGTCCTTGCCCAGTTCTATCAGAGGGAACTATAGGTTTGTACTAACGGGGTAGTCCATCTTTCAGTCAGTCCTTGCCCAGTACTATCAGAGGGGACTATAGGTTTGTACTAACGGGGTAGTCCATCTTTCAGTCAGTCCTTGCCCAGTACTATCAGAGGGGACTATAGGTTTGTACTAACGGGGTAGTCCATCTTTCAGTCAGTCCTTGCCCAGTACTATCAGAGGGGACTATAGGTTTGTACTAACGGGGTAGTCCATCTTTCAGTCAGTCCTTGCCCAGTACTATCAGAGGGGACTATAGGTTTGTACTAACGGGGTAGTCCATCTTTCAGTCAGTCCTTGCCCAGTACTATCAGAGGGGACTATAGGTTTGTACTAACGGGGTAGTCCATCTTTCAGTCAGTCCTTGCCCAGTACTATCAGAGGGGACTATAGGTTTGTACTAACGGGGTAGTCCATCTTTCAGTCAGTCCTTGCCCAGTACTATCAGAGGGGACTATAGGTTTGTACTAACGGGGTAGTCCATCTTTCAGTCAGTCCTTGCCCAGTACTATCAGAGGGGACTATAGGTTTGTACTAACGGGGTAGTCCATCTTTCAGTCAGTCCTTGCCCAGTACTATCAGAGGGGACTATAGGTTTGTACTAACGGGGTAGTCCATCTTTCAGTCAGTCCTTGCCCAGTACTATCAGAGGGGACTATAGGTTTGTACTAACGGGGTAGTCCATCTTTCAGTCAGTCCTTGCCCAGTACTATCAGAGGGGACTATAGGTTTGTACTAACGGGGTAGTCCATCTTTCAGTCAGTCCTTGCCCAGTACTATCAGAGGGGACTATAGGTTTGTACTAACGGGGTAGTCCATCTTTCAGTCAGTCCTTGCCCAGTACTATCAGAGGGGACTATAGGTTTGTACTAACGGGGTAGTCCATCTTTCAGTCAGTCCTTGCCCAGTACTATCAGAGGGGACTATAGGTTTGTACTAACGGGGTAGTCCATCTTTCAGTCAGTCCTTGCCCAGTACTATCAGAGGGGACTATAGGTTTGTACTAACGGGGTAGTCCATCTTTCAGTCAGTCCTTGCCCAGTACTATCAGAGGGGACTATAGGTTTGTACTAACGGGGTAGTCCATCTTTCAGTCAGTCCTTGCCCAGTACTATCAGAGGGGACTATAGGTTTGTACTAACGGGGTAGTCCATCTTTCAGTCAGTCCTTGCCCAGTACTATCAGAGGGGACTATAGGTTTGTACTAACGGGGTAGTCCATCTTTCAGTCAGTCCTTGCCCAGTACTATCAGAGGGGACTATAGGTTTGTACTAACGGGGTAGTCCATCTTTCAGTCAGTCCTTGCCCAGTACTATCAGAGGGGACTATAGGTTTGTACTAACGGGGTAGTCCATCTTTCAGTCAGTCCTTGCCCAGTACTATCAGAGGGGACTATAGGTTTGTACTAACGGGGTAGTCCATCTTTCAGTCAGTCCTTGCCCAGTACTATCAGAGGGGACTATAGGTTTGTACTAACGGGGTAGTCCATCTTTCAGTCAGTCCTTGCCCAGTACTATCAGAGGGGACTATAGGTTTGTACTAACGGGGTAGTCCATCTTTCAGTCAGTCCTTGCCCAGTACTATCAGAGGGGACTATAGGTTTGTACTAACGGGGTAGTCCATCTTTCAGTCAGTCCTTGCCCAGTACTATCAGAGGGGACTATAGGTTTGTACTAACGGGGTAGTCCATCTTTCAGTCAGTCCTTGCCCAGTACTATCAGAGGGGACTATAGGTTTGTACTAACGGGGTAGTCCATCTTTCAGTCAGTCCTTGCCCAGTACTATCAGAGGGGACTATAGGTCTGTACTAACGGGGTAGTCCATCTTTCAGTCAGTCCTTGCCCAGTACTATCAGAGGGGACTATAGGTCTGTACTAACGGGGTAGTCCATCTTTCAGTCAGTCCTTGCCCAGTACTATCAGAGGGGACTATAGGTCTGTACTAACGGGGTAGTCCATCTTTCAGTCAGTCCTTGCCCAGTACTATCAGAGGGTACTATAGGTCTGTACTAACGGGGTAGTCCATCTTTCAGTCAGTCCTTGCCCAGTACTATCAGAGGGGACTATAGGTTTGTACTAACGGGGTAGTCCATCTTTCAGTCAGTCCTTGCCCAGTACTATCAGAGGGGACTGTATGCTGGTATATTAATATCAATGTGTGTGAATGTTTTAGAATCAATAGAAATGAGAAGTATGTATTTGATGTATGGTTTACAGGTCCCCTGATTTCTATGAGGAGATCAAAGTCAAACTGCCTGCCAAACTGACAGACGTACACCACCTGTTGTTTACATTCTACCATCTGAGCTGTCAGAACAAAAAAAATGAACCTGTTCCTATAGAAGTGGCTGTCGGCTATACCGTAAGTGTGACATCACAGTCAGGAAGTGTCTGTTATACTGTAAGTGTGACATTATAAAAGGATGCATGATTACATGTCTTGTTTATAGTATCGCTGAGTCAGTCTTGGTGAAGATATGCCGTAATAAGTTCTTGTGATTCAGTTTTGTCAGAACATCTGAACAAACATTTTAATTTGTAAACCTCGACTCTTGGTCAACTACATACCAGGTAGATATTTATACATCATCTGATGATTACATAGAACCGCATGCTTCGTTATAAAATAACAAACTTACGTCAAACTTTTTTAACTTTCAATACGAAAACACATGCGTTATCATCTCCAATAGGCCAATCATACAATAAATACACAATAATGACAATATACCTTACACACATATACCTTATTTTCACTATTGGAAAAGACACAGATGACACTTTACGGCAAATAACGCCTTAAAGTGGTCCAGTGTTGTAAACACTATTATATCATGTGACTACAGTAATTAAAGGAATGAACAATTATTTGTGAAGATGTGTTGATTTTGTTTTGCAGAAAGTTTGACATATTTAGAGATTATCTTTTGACCATTTTGATATCACACCCCATATCAGCCCGATAGTCCTGATATCAGCAGAGGGCCGAAGGCCCGAGGGCTGATATTAGGACTCGAGGGCTGATTGGGGGGTGTGATATCAAAAGGGTCATATCATAAACTTTTTATCATATTTTTTTTTTTTTTTATATATATATTCATAAAAATGGTAACAAAAACAATGATGTATATAAACAAAACAGTAACAATTATACGTAAAATGTCAACATTTAGAATTTTCCAAATTCCTTCAAAATGATATGGTTATTAAAATTTGGGTTGGGCTTTGTAACTCAATCTTTAAATTATTTTCCATGAAACCGCAGTTATTCAATGCCAACATTTCGTTTGTTTATATTAAAAGTAGACAGCATTAAGCGGAAGCGGCACAATCCGGAAATTTGGGAGGGGGTGTGATATCACTTTTCTAGGGTGTGTGATATCATTTTTCTAGGGTGTGTGATATCACTTTTCTAGGGGGTGTGATATCACTTTTCTAGGGTGTGTGATATCACTTTCAAGGGGGTGTGATATCACCCGGGCTGATATCAACTTGTGGAAATTTTAGACTTATTACACATACAAAAAGGGTGTTATTATTAGTAAACATATGATAATGATTAGTAAACAATTGATGTGAATGATATACAGTTATTTATAGACTTCTAAAAAATGTTATTACTTTGTGAATTATAAATGATTGATGATTAGCAAACATCTGATGTGTATGATGTTGTAGTGATACCTTGATTGTTTGTAGTGGCTACCTTTGTGCAGGGATGGCAGACTGATGGTTGGGGAGTTCAACCTCCCAGTATCTGTGGACAAGCTCCCTCCTAGCTACTCCATCCTCTTTCCAGATGTAAGTTTAGATAAAAATCCTTTCAAATCAACTTTTGTTAACAGTGGACAAAAAAAATAATGAGTATAATTTTTGAGAATTTTTGGCAATAAACAAAACCTATTGACATCTTATTTCTTTTATACAATAGAAGTTGTGTTGATATTCATATAAAGTTAATATAAATAGCTTGTTGATATTTAGGGCCCACATCAGAGATGCAGGTGCCCTATAGTAATCCTGGTGTCTGTCTGTCCGTCCGTTCACACTTTCGTTTCTGTAGAATACCTCAAAATCCAAAAGTCTAATTTCTGATATAAGATCCATGGTAATTACACAGTGGTATGTGGATGTACAGTAGGGATTTAAAAAGTTTTTAAGGTCAAGGTCACTGTTACTATAAATAGACCACAGGGGTACAGCCCCTATCTCAGCATCCAAAAGACTTGTCTTTTTGTTTGACATTGGTGATACACAATAATATTAAGATGGGCAAAAAGGGTTTAAACAGTTTTTAAGGTTAAGGTCAAGGTGACTGTTACTTAAATAGACCGGGGGGATGGTCAGGCACATGGCAGGGCCCTTGCTGACCTGTCAGAGTTCCAAGTGAGGTCAGACACATGGCAGGGCCCTTGCTGACCTGTCAGTGTTCCAAGTGATGTCAGACACATGGCAGGGCCCTTGCTGACCTGTCAGTGTTCTAAGGGAGGTCAGACACATGGCAGGGCCCTGGTTGCCCTGTCAGTGTTCTAAGTGAGGTCAGACACATGGCAGGGCCCTTGTTGACCTGTCAGTGTTCTAAGTGAGGTCAGACACATGGCAGGGCCCTGGTTGACCTGTAAGTGTTCTTAGTGAGGTCAGACACATGGCAGGGCCCTTGCTGACCTGTCAGTGTTCCAAGTGAGGTCAGACACATGGCAGGGCCCTTGCTGACCTGTCAGTGTTCCAAGTGATGTCAGACACATGGCAGGGCCCTTGCTGACCTGTCAGTGTTCCAAGTGATGTCAGACACATGGCAGGGCCCTTGCTGACCTGTCAGTGTTCTAAGGGAGGTCAGACACATGGCAGGGCCCTGGTTGACCTGTAAGTGTTCTTAGTGAGGTCAGACACATGGCAGGGCCCTTGCTGACCTGTCAGTGTTCTAAGGGAGGTCAGACACATGGCAGGGCCCTGGTTGACCTGTAAGTGTTCTTAGTGAGGTCAGACACATGGCAGGGCCCTTGCTGACCTGACAGTGATCTAGTTAGATCTGTTAACTTCACAATTCATCAGAATGTTGTAAATGTAAATACAGATTTTCTGTTGGCACATCCCGATGATATTGTGTAGTGCAGTGGAATCAGTTTTATCTTGAAATACCTGTTCCTGAAAAATACAGAATCATTAGTTAGTTATTAAACATTTAAAATCAGTTTAGGCCGAAGGCTCTGACAGGAATGATATAGGTAGACAATGCATTTATTGTGGTGTAGAATATATTAAATCATATCTATTGTATCCACAGACGGCTCTAACAGGGATGAAGTGGGTGGACAACCACAAAGGATTTTTCCAGGTATCCATACAGTCTACATCATCTGTCCACACTCAGGTCAGTTGCCTCTTTTTTCTTCTTTATATATGATTATATGCCCTTGAACACACAATCTTAACTTTGCATGTAAAACATATTAATGGGGAATAATTTGAATAAACCCACACCAGATCTACATAGAACCTTTTGCTTAACCTTAGGTTTTACATACATAACCAACATAACCACATACATAACCAACATAACCACATACATAACCAACATAACCACATACATAACCAACATAACCACATACATAACCAACATAACCACATACATAACCAACATAACCACA